TCACATGATTATTGTGCTGCTGGCACACTCTTATGTGGTCAACAAGAGAGAACTGAATGTGAGCTTATACCTGATCGGTCCAAAATGAAAAGGAAAACATAATTGTTATACAAAATGTATAAAATGTACATTTTATTTCTTTGTGGAACTGTTCAGTTCCCATATTCGGAGATACATACATAACTGATGTAACAATAGCACCACTTCTCGACAAACAAGTTTGTTTTTCGAGTCATAACAGTACTGATCAATTTCTTAAAAGAAAGTCAGTCTGAAGGGAAATAGAAAATAAAGTACACATATAATTTTTATTATCTAAATATTCATTTAATTTATTTTCTTGAGGAATTGTTCAACTTCCTTACATGGAGATACATAGGTATTCTGATAAAATAGAAATGTAATATTCTGATAAACACCCTTTGTTGCTTTCTTGGAAGAAGAAATTTAGAAACACATTTGTTGTTGCAAAAAAGAAGCATATTTTGCACAATAAATAAATATTGAATTTTGTATCCTCTTAATGTGTCTAATACCTAATTTATTAGCATATATAGAGTAATATCAAGCACTGTATCCCACACAACAGACAATAAAAAATGAGACTCACTTGATACATAAATTAAAACTTCTCATGTTAGATAAATATTAATATTTCTAGTATTTTTGGATGTTTGTTATGTTAGTATTAAATTATTACTCGTGTTAGTATTATATTAAATGTATGCTAGATTGCATCCACGTGTATGCCAAACATATTTTAAAGTTAAAGGTATAAATAGTATTGTTAACAAAACCTAGGACATAACGCTGTACATAAATGCTATATGGTTAAAAAACAACTTGATTGAGTTCATTGCAATGGTTGACCTATTCAAGTTCCCTCGATTTTGCACGTCATCTGGGACTGGGGTTCCTATCAGTTGTTTACCAGGACATGTGCAAGAGCATACCCTTGTGTTTGTATCATGGCAAAGGGCATTGCTAGACCTCGTGGCTGGAGTTCCTGGATCAGCAGACATGGTTGTATAAGATGGTTCTCTCAAAATGGATCAGAGAACTGTTATCTGTTAATATAATCCATCCTTGCCCTGTAACCACTTGTGTTGGATCCAGTTGCATATTGGGTGAATGTACCAAGAGTTAGACTCGACAGTCCACTCTCAACTCCTGTTTATTAGAAAGAAATAGTATACTCCCAAGACACCTGCAGAGAAAAGGAGTTTAAAGTACATGGGCGAGAACCATAGGAGTCATGTTAATGAAGGTGTTGAAGCAGTAGGGGCCTCATAGCTTAAACAAACTTGCACATGGGCAAACTTGTGACTGCGTGTGAACTTTATTTCTGGCTGGCACATTCTCACACCTTGGAGCTGGTATCAATTTCATTTAGCGCCCTGCTAGTTCCCTTCCACTGCGGTCTTCGCTTTGCCTTGTGTCCTGTCTGCTTGGCACCTATGGGTCTTTGCTTTGGACAACTGGTGCCTCTGTTTTTTTGATGCCCCAAGCAGGTACTTATCTTGCTTATTGGGTAATCGGTCCCTGACGCCACCTAGGGATCTATTTTATGTATACATAATAACATAAATCTATAGGATGCCTTCGCATTTCTGTGTGTCTTTAGAAGGCAGTATGTGTACAGTGTATGTTCCTTAGCTAAATGTAATCCATTGCTTTGCATCTTCAATTTCTGAGATATCTTAGGAAATGTGTTTCCTCAGCGGTGTGTTGGTCAGAAAATACTGACTTAATAGAGAACCACAATGGGAATCTGCAAACTTAAGGTTGGCTTGCCAGTATCCAAAATAGCTTTATTGTGGCATGAATCATGGTGTTTTAAAGGGGAAAAGAACCTTAGCAATCAGTCTTTAGTCCAATATCTTTATGTTAATATTAGGAGAGTGAGACCAAAAAGTTTAAATGACTTCCTCAAGAACACTTGATTAATGGTTGACAGACTCATGATTCAATATAGTTACCCTAACGTTTACTCATTACATTATACTATTCTACCGTTATACTATTCTACACTCTGAGAGATGAATAGTCAGTACTTTTTTTTTTTTTTAATCAGGACCTTTGAGATTAGGCCATCATTGAGCAAACCATTCACAACCTTACACAGCATAGAAATTCCTGAAAGCAGGAACTGAGAAGCTTCTTTTTTTTTTCTCTCATATACTAAATATATTACTCGGTATCTCTTAAATAAATATTTTTATTGATTACTTGATTGACTGATTATAGAATTAATAAATAGCAAGACAATAGCTTATTGTAGAATTAATAACATACTGAGACAACAAGAGAGGATTCTGATATAGTAAGTTATACCACTTACATTTTATTTCTTTTTAAGGAAGGTAGTATGAATAATTAAATGCATATATTTTAGAGTTCCAGCTCTGTTGTTTAATAGCTATATGACCATGGGCAAATAAATTAAGTATATGTTCCCTCATCTTACAATAGGAATAATAATATCTACCTCATGTGGTTGCTGTAAAGATTAAATGTAATTGTATAAGCACTCAAAGTGACTGGCACATGGCAAGTACTCAATAAATGTTGGTTATGATCAGCTGGAAAATAAGCACACTGCTGCCTAAAACTAGAGTTGTTTTGTTTTGTTTTTAGAATAAAAGCCAAGATTTAAACTGGATGAGAAAACCTACCTAGCCTGAGAATATTTTTTAATCTCTCTATTTATTCTGTGGCCTCAAAAAGAAAGCAATGGGAAATGTGTCTTTATCTGCTGGCAATGTGTTACCAAAGAAATGGCAAAATGCTCTAGGAATATTCCAGTGTGAAGAAAAACACCATGGGAAATCTGTGATTAAGTAATTTATTAATGATTAATGAATATTTATAAATAACAATGAAAATGTATGTTTTCCAAATGGGTTCTTAAGCTTAGCTAGGGGCAAGGAATTTTAAAAATCCTTTAACTGTGAAAATATCATGAAAATATGGAACACATATCTATTTGTGTAAATTTGTGTTCTGTGTGAAACAGACCATGCCTATTACAAATATTTTCATGACCTATCCCTGCACCGAGAAGAAAAACAGATAATATAAAAGCATGGCTGTCAAAGAGGAAATAGTGGCCATAATCTATTGTAAAGTTAATTTCAAGTGAAATTATTCTTTCAGAAAGATTTTGTCTAAAAGATTCCAGGTTTGTCAATACATTACCAAAAGTGTCACAATCATGATGCCAGTGTCCGTAAAATTATATACTAAGTTTCCAGGCTTTCACTATTTCAAATAAGTTCGATAACATTTCAAATAATTTCCATTTTCTTGGATATCAAAATAAAATTTTGTTAGATCCTCACCATTTACTGGGAATGTAAATAAGGACTTATTACATGATTCTATCATGAAGATTTCTGTAGAAAATAAAATGCTGCTAAGCTCTCCTAAACTCAAGAACTATATCATGATTACTTATTTTACTCCTTTATTTCTTTTTTATATTAATGCAGATGGGCCTTATGGACTTCGGGTTAATTCTGATAAAGGGCTAAAAGTAGGGGAAGTGTTTACTATTGACCTTGGAGAAGCCATCCTGTTTGATTGTTCTGCTGATTCTTATCCCCCCAATACCTACTCTTGGATCCGGAGGACTGACAATACAACATATGTCATCAAGCATGGGCCTCGCTTGGAAGTTGCATCTGAAAAAGTAGCCCAGAAGACAGCTGACTATGTGTGCTGTGCTTACAACAATGTAACCGGAAGACGAGATGAAACTCATTTCACAGTTATCATCACTTCTGTAGGTAAGTGTGACATAAAAGAAAGGGATCCCAATAAATCATGAATACATGCTGGCCTTGCTCTTCCCCTATTTTATACTTATATCAAAGAGAAAAACATTGTGGGATTATTCAGATACTCTAAGAAACTCTGTTTCCTGAGATAACAAAGCCGTGGTTTCTATGAGTGAACGCAAACCTACAACGGAATGGAGGGGAATTCAGTTGTTGGCTCTGAGAGACTATGAAGAAAAAGGAAAATTCAAAATGCACATTCTTGTTTTCCTGGTTTTACAAACAGGAATATACGAAAAGCAGGCTACCATTCAGAGAGCTTATCTCTGCTGTTGCATTAGGTGAGATGAATAAATCTCCATGAGTTAGAAGTCTGAATTTCCTACTACCTATTTCACTTCCCTTTCTCACTGTCCTTCATGTTTAAATATCTTTCACTGTTTAAATATCTGTAATCTGTGGAAGTTCTCAATGAGGGTCTCAATGCCCTGAAAACTACAAAATTTCTTAAGTCTGAAAATTTGCATTCTCTAGGGGAAAAAATTTCATCTAATTTTCAGAGAGGTCACTGATCCCCAAAAGGTTAAGAATGACTAAATTTTCATCCTCCCAAGCCTTCTCTTCTCTCTCTACGCATTCTCCTGGGTGATTTCATTCATTCCCATGGTTTCACGTATGACTGGTGCACCCCAAATCTACATCTCTAAAGCACTAAAACTGTATACCCAGCTGCCTTCTGGATGTGTCTATTTGCTTATACCAAAGAGAGCATACAGGTCCAACATATCAAAACTGAGCCATTTTCTTTCCCCCTAAACTGCTATTCTTTCTGTATTCACTATTTAAATGAATGGCCCTACTATCTATTTCCTCAAGCCAGAAAGCTAAATGCCATCCCAGACTTTCCTCTTGTCCATTGCCCTCCTCCACATCCGATCACTGAGTTCTGTCCATTTTCCTTCCTTCCTATCTCTCTGGTCCATCTCTTTTCTCCTTCTCCTCCTGCTCCTGCTCTTGCTCTTATTTTCTTCATCCTTTTTCTCCCTCTTCTCCTCCTCCTTTGGCTGTTTCTGCTTCTTTTTCTCCTCCTCTTTCTTCTTTTTCTTCTTTTGCTGCTCCTGTTACTGCTTCTACTTCTACTATTTAGTCCTTCCTGTACTACCCTTTGCATACAGACAAAGACAAGCCAGATTCCATTTAGGGAAAGCCTAAGGCTGATTGAAACAGGAAGTGGTATTTAGGCTGCCTATAACTGGTGAGGAGCCCTGGTGGGCAGTGGTTAAGAGGTATGGCTGCTAACCAGTAGATTGGCATTTCAAACCCATCAGTAACTCCTTGGAAACCCTATGGGGCAGTTCTACTCTGTCTTAAAGGGTCACTATGAGTCGGAATCAACTCGTTGGCAATGGGTTTGTTCACAAAAGGTGCTACCCATTAATACCTTCTCCTTCCTTATAGCTCTGGTGCTTGCATAGGGTTCATAACATAGAGAAGTTCAATACATTTTGTTGAATAAATGAACAAGAATGTAATTCTTTTTAACTTTAGGCTAGATTTTTCAGCATGCGGCCCTTTGACCACCTGCCATCAAAATCACCTGGGGAAGTCGCTAAAATATGTAGTTTCATTAAGACATGTCAGACGTACGGATTAGGATCCTGCACGCGGGACCTGAGAATCTGAATGTTTATCAAGCACAAGTGTGACAACCACTTGTTTAAGAGTTTTTTTTCCTCCATAGACTTTTTAATTTATTTAAAAGCTCTTAAAGAACAGTCAAAAATTATAAGACTATCACAAACCTATAGGTTAATGAATAGGCATATAGTGGATGGGGCTTTTCCAGAACTTCCTAAAGTGAAGGATATTCATATTTGCAAAATCACCTCAGTCAGTATATATACTGTCTAGAATAGTGCTGGAGCCCTGGTGGCGTAGCGGTTAAGAGCTCGGCTGCTAACCAAAAGGTCAGCAGTTCAAATCCCCAAGCCACTCCTTGGAAACCCTGTGGGGCAGTTCTACTCTGTCCTATAGGGTCACTATGAGTCAAAACCGACTTGACGACACCTAACAATGACAGAATAGTGCTGCCCAATATAAACTTCTGTGATGATAGAAATGCTCTATATCTGCACTTTGTACAGGTCAATATGGAAATCTGTAGCCTAATGTAGCTATTGAGCATTTAAAATGTGGCTATGCACTGAGGAACTGAATTTTTAATTTTCTTTCATTCATTATGATTAAATTTAATTTAAGTTTAAATAACCACATGTGTCTAGTGGCTGCTATATTGGACAATACAGCTCTAGAATTTTCACCTGAATTATGCTTCATTTGGGCAGTAGATAATAATATATTTCCCTTGGAGACCCCAAAAGTATATGTGTGTTTACGATGATATAAATTATGCACTTATTCATTTATTATTGAGCACCTATTGTGGGCCAGATACTGTGGCAGGCACTGAAAATGCCATATGGAAAAAAAAATAATTCCTGCTAACAAAGGGCTCACAATCTAGTATGGGTGACACACATATAAACAGCTAAGATGCATCCTTTGCTTTCTATTTTACTAAAATTTTAACAGGCATAACCAGCTTTTCACCCCAGTAGCTAACTGAAATATAATTTTAAAGTAAACCATAATTAAGCATATAAAATATTTTGGTAGCAGCCTAGATATCATCCTAGCTGTCTTCCTCTTGCTCACTGCAAGTGAAGAAATGGCCATAAATATGTAGAACGATACTGCAGTGACACCTTTCCCACCACTTAAACTTTCTGCATTAATATTTAGCCAAAGTATTTTCATAATACCTGAAGCCCCCAATATTTAACTAAGATCTTATTACCACAGTCCAAAGACAGCTACAGTCTTAATTTCAGACAATTGGCTTTTGCAAAATCTAAAAAACCTGTTTGACCTGTACAAAGACCAGGCTATTTGTTATTACAGTAAATAAGAAGAGCAGGTGCTTATTTTTCAGAGGGATTCAGAGTTGTTAACATTAATGACCTCTGTGGTTTCTAGAGCTGTTTTGCCACCCCTCAAAAGTCCACAGAACTTTTACTCAAACAGCAGCAAAATGATGAAGAAAATTAATGGCATTGATGTGTTTCATTAAGTATTTGATTCTTTTAAAGTTTTCTAAATGAATGAGTCTTGTGATGCAGATGAAGTATACACTAACCTCCAGTTACAAATGAGCCTCATTTATAACTATCAGTTGAGCATATACTGACCATCCACTCTGATGAGAAATCTATAGTAAGATCTGTGAAGAATTTAAAATAATTGAGAAGAATAAGCCTTTGAGATGTTTCCGGAGCCAAGTTGGTGTTTGGTGTAACTAGAGCCAAATCGTAAGAAATAGATGAACCTCTTTGTTTTTAATGAGGCAACGAATATAGCTAATCAAAAAGTGTCAGCAAAAAGATGAGGAAGGCAAAGGAAAGAGGAGTCAAAGATGACTCCAAGGTCACAAATATGGAAAGAAAATGACAGGGTCAGAAAATGATCAAAAGTTTTACTGGGGGCTTGTGGTGGGGAGAGAATAGCTGGAGAATGTGACAATTAGTTCTGTTTTTCCTGCTTGTGTAAGACCAGACCAGATGGTGACTTTCACCTCTGTGGCTATGATTCATATCTAATTTGTGATGTTAACTGACTTTTCTGTATCTCAGTGGAGACACCCTGAAGGAAACAGGGACAATGGGCAAGATCACACAGCTACTAGAAAGTGAAAAATTAATATCTGGATTCAAAGCCCACGTTTTTAACCATTATGCAAACTGTCTCCTTTAATGTAATTGAGAATATTGATGGAACTATGGTCTTTCCAGTAGATATGTGTAGTATCACACATATGCAGTATAGCATATATTTTCTCATAACTTTAACTAATTTTATGCTTCATACATAGAGATACTTCTGATTTGTCTATAATATGTATAATTTCATATTAATGATAAATTATTAAATATCTGTACCTAAAAATAATACCTGTAATATATGTTTCAAGGAAAGAATAGCTATTAAAATACCAAGTTGGCATTTATGTTGTTAAAAAAAAAAAAACATGATTTTATTGCCTTACTTAAGGTTCTTCTTCCTTGAAAGCATATGTCTCTACTTTGAAGTTTTAACTGGGCCGAAATCACTATTGCAGTGTATATAAAATGGAAATATTTATGGAAATGTAAACATCTAATCAGAATTCAGATATTCACATTTAATGTAGGCATTCTAATGTATAAATAGATTCCATAGGACCACCTGGCCTTAGTTTGAGATTTAGCCTTACTGGAAATGTTTTGGATTTGTCTGTGATCCTGAAAAATCTACCATGTTTAATATTTATTTATATCCTACATCTTTTTATAAAGAAGAAAACAGGAAAATAATCCAAGACAGGAAAATGATTTTACTAATTTCCTCTATCTACCTAGGAATTTCTCAAGTCAAGATCTCTAGGAGTTGTATTTCATATTGGACCACTGGAGATAAGGATTGAGATAGAACTACAGCCCTGACATCTAGGCCCTGAGATCGTAGGTGGCATCCTTGTGAGCATCTAGCAGACAGAGTAACTGTGTCCATCAGGTGAAAATAGCACGGCCGTCAATATGGAGCCTTAAGCTCCTTAGGGACATGAATCAGCTGCCATAATCAGCAAACAGATTGGATGGGAGAGACCTCAGGACTCAATTCTAATCTAGAAACAGACGCACTGACTGGTAGCATATGGCTGTCCTGTTTTGGGTGCAGTCTCTCAGACAGCAGGGTTGCAATACCATGGATACCACACCTCTTACTCATATTTGCACTTAACATGTTATTTCATTTTATTTGTTTGCCTAAGGAGGGGGCAAATAGCATTTGCACTAGGACTTTGGTAAATGAGCCAATCGTGTTTAAATAATGGGGGAGAGTGGCATGCTATATGCTAAAGAATAGTAAACTCCCTGAAAGGAGAAAGAAGGGGGCTCTTGAAATTGTCCAGAACCACATTCAGGGATCCTTATACATTCTCTGCAGAGAAAGAGTCAGAATTTTCTTGCTGTCTTATTTTCAAGTTGGAGTTCTAGAAGTCCACCTCTCCAAAACATATTTGTCTAGAGCTGAGACCGCACAACTGCGCTTCTTGATTTAATCCTTGATGTATTTGGCATTTTTTATTTTGTGATAAGGAAAAATTTCAAATGCTGGGCCTGATTAATTTTGTGTGTTCTGGGATAGAGAAATAGTGTTGAGAGTCAGAAAGCCAGAATATTACAGAGAAGAAATGGGCCTAGTAGGAAAGAACATTTGCTCTGAGAAAAGGATGGTCCCTAGCCCCCATTATCAAGGGGGAAAGCATTCGACCTTGGCCATAACCAAGACTTTGGGAGACAGGAGCTGGTCATGCAAGTTACTTTCTATAGGGCACAGACCAGTGGAAGAGGCAAGACAACAATAAGGAAGAAGAGGAATCTAAATAAATAAGGAAGGGGTAGTGAAGGGAAGGAGTGGGACCTTCTGTAGGACACAATGTGAAAATCAGGTCATTTTAGGAAATATATATCGAAAGGGACAAAAAGTTAAAAATGAAAGAGAGGGAGATGTGTCTTATCTAGTGTAAGACATCCAGTCATTGTAAAATAAATCTAGTACCAGGCTTCAGAATTATGGAAGTACCTGGAAAGAGTGATATATGCCAGAGTGTAACTTCACCATAAACATGAGAAGTACTCTGAAATAATTATTAGCATTATTTTCAAATTTAAGAGAAAAAAGAGCTGAGACTATACTAAAATGTTTTTCTGAAGCTCACTATAACTCATGGTAAAGCACACTGCAGGAAACTGAATAGAATAAATTAGCACTGAATTCTTTTTGCATGGAGGGGTTATTGCATTTTGGCGAAGGCAGTCTGACTATCCAGAAGTGAAAGAATTGAAGTGAATGAAGTCTGTTGTTAGAAAAAGTTAAAAAAAAATGGAACATATAGGAGCCTACCTGCCAATTGCAAAAATCGTTTTTTGACCATGCATTAGTAGGAAAAATTAATTAATTAATTAAACTTGCAGTCCGAATAAACTTTTGTTCCAGCCTCAGTTCTAGGACTTACTAGCTGTGACAAATATTTCATTTCCTCCAAGACTGTTTATCTGTACCTATAAGTGGCCCTTTAAATTTTTTATTATTTTTATTATTATAGATGGTATGAGACATCTATACCAAATAAACAGGAAGCATATATACACATACACATAATGCTCATGCATTTGTCTATTATCTGGAGATTTCTCTAGCTAATTTTGATTTTAATATTGAATCTAAAATGAAGAAATAGAGAATTCACTTGCTAAAAGTATTCCCCAAGTCATATAATATATTTCAAATATGCCATTCTATTGTGTAATATTTCTGTCAAGTTTTTCTTCTTTATTATTTTGCTTTTCTACCACTGCCATTATCTTAAGAGAGCTCTCGATTTGCCTTTATCTTATTGACAACCACACCAGAGTATGGTTTCCCTCTGAATCTGTATTTCAGGAGTGAAATTAACTAGCCTTTGCTGAGCTTCAGTTAGGATACTAACTGAAGTCCTGGTGGCATAGTGATTAAAGAGCTCAGGGACTAACCAAAAGGTCAGCGATTTGAATCTACCAGCTTCTCCTTGGAAACGCTATGGGCAGTTCTACTGTATCCTATAGGATTACTATGAGTTTCAGAATTGACTCAATGGCAGCAGGTTTGGTGTTTTTGGTTTAGGATGCTAAAGAATCTGGAAACTAGTCATGTGAAGAACAGCAAAAGGATCTGGGCATGTTTAATCTGAAGAATAAAATTCTTGGCCGAGATGTGAGATCAAACCATTGAAATAGCATCCTGTAGAGAAAGGATTTGGTTTATTGTGGCTCCTATTGGCAGGAACGAGTAGATTTGGGCTTAATGAGCAGAAGGATTTCTGTTTCTTGTATAATGGTCAGGCAGGGATAATGGAAAGAGCATAGAATTGTAGTCAGACATTACTACATTCAGACATTACCAAATTCAAATTTGAGTCCTAGAGCCTTAGTTTTCCCATATTCAATATGGATCTTATTCTTGCATTGTGGAAGTGGTAAGTGGTGAACGTATAAGTTTTTGTTAGACTTTAATAAGTCAAGGATGCATGTTTGAAGCTCTAGGGTTTCCACTAAGAGACAAACAAGTATAACTAATAAGCAAATAATAAGAAAAATAAAATTCTGACTAATCCAAATAAAGACAAGAAAGAAAATAAAAGAAACAAAATATGTAGGATAAACAGAAAGAATAGTAAGATTATAGATTTAAGCTGAAATATATTAATAAATACATTAAGTATAAATGGACCAATTACTCCAACTAAAAGACAAATATTGGCAAACTGGATTAAAAAAAGAAACTATTTACTGCTTATAAGATACATACCTTATATGTAAGTATACTGAAATGTTGAAAGTAAAAGGATGAACAAATAAACCATATGAATATTAGCCAAAAGAAGACTGATGTAACTATACTAATATCAGATAAATTAGACTTTAAGATAAGAAACATTTCTTCAAATAAAAAAAGGACATTTCATAAGGTTAAAGGGGTTTATCCAGTAGGATGATACAAAAATTCTGAATTTTTATGCATCTAATAGCATAGCTTCAAAATACATCTAATAAATCGACAGAATTTTAAAATCCACAGTCAGAATGGGGGATGTCAAAATTTGCAGTAGTGTCTCATTTAAGATAAAACATAAACAAACTATTTAGTAATTCATTGACCTTTAAGAAAATGTTAATATTTCTTCTTTTTTTTATAGGACTGGAGAAGCTTGCACAAAAAGGGAAATCATTGTCACCTTTAGCAAGTATAACTGGAATATCACTATTTTTGATTATATCCATGAGTCTTCTCTTCCTATGGAAAAAATATCAACCCTACAAAGGTAGGTTAAAATTAGAAAAGAAAGTAAAACAAAATAGTTTTATATATGTACTAAAGAAGTAACTTACTATGTTTTTTCTTTGTTGGTTTTAGTTATAAAACAGAAGCTGGAAGGCAGGTAATGCATATTTTTCTACAATTTTTTTCTCTTGAATGCTTTTTCCTCAATTATTATCACTGACAGAAATGCCTATTTATATTTTCAGACCAGAAACAGAATATAGGAAAGCTCAAACATTTTCAGGTAATGACCTGAGAGGGGCTATTATGAATGTTAATGTATATTAGTTGATATTGTTAATGTATATTAGTTAATATTGTTGATATTAACTATTGTATATAACATACTATTGATTAATAAATTAATATAAGCTAAAATTAATATGGTAATGATGTATTACCTTTGTATAGCACCTTCACTTTACAAAGTGCTATGCTTTTGTGCATGGTTTTATTAAGTCACGCAACTCTGTAAGGTAAGCCTGGTAGACACTCTTAGCTCCATTTTAAAGGCAAGAGATCTAAGGATCAGAAAGATTAACTCACTTGCCCACAGTCACTGAGTTCTAGTGAATCCTAGTCGATTGATCCTGGTATTATTTTAAAATGACAAAGAGTTCTCTCACTTTTACTAATTGCAAAATAAAAAGCTCTTTGGGGTGTTCCTAAGGCAGATGCAAAGCTGACAGCTCTGTCCTAGGGAGAGGAGGAAAGGAGGGTTTGACAGGGCCAGTATTCCTTCTTTGTCCCCAGCTGGCCCCTCATTGCCATTACCGTTGACTCTGTACTGAGTTCTTATCACAAGTTATCAATGTTGCTTTTGCTCAGCCTTGGAGTCCACAGAACCAGGTTTCAGTCCATATATGCCGCTTTCCCCCATGTCACCTTAGGAAAGTTAATTTTTTTTTTCCTGACCTCAACTTTTCTATATAACAGAAATAATAACTTCCTCCTACGAGTGTTATGAAAGTTAAATAAAATGATGTACATGGAGTGCCTAACATGATTCCTGGGTGCTTAATAAATGTGGGTCTTTTCTCTCTTATCTAGCACTTTCTCACTTACGAATGGTAGAATATCAGAGCTGGGAAGGGTCTCAGAGACCATCTGGTTCCTCCCCCATCCCAGGCATTTTACAGATAATTGTTTAGGTGACACTGATATTGTGTTGTGTTAGGTTGTATTGTCTTTTGTATGTATGGGCAGCTATAGTTGTTTATTCTTTTAGTTTTGGTGGTCTCTGTTAGATCTAGCAGAGTGCATTAGATATTATGGATGGATCAAGGGCTGTGGTGACCTCCATGCTAAAGCCTTGGAGTCTGTAAGATTCTGGTAGCCAAGGGTCACAAAGGACTGTACATTGTTCCCACATCAGGCTTTAATAAAAATTGTTCCAATTCAGCCTATTATAGCTTCAATTCTTAGCTTTAGAAGAAGTGATTTGCAACGCTGCTTAATGGCAACATAATTGTAGGGGACCAGGGAATGTTAAATTGGTTTTGTACACGTACTACTTAAATCAGACAAAAAAAAAAATACAACTTTTACAAAGATTTTTTTAAAAAGCAACAACAATAGCAACTCGAGGCATTTGGTTGTAAGTAGTATTTGTTTTCCATTTCAGGCCATGAAGATGCTCTGTATGACTTCGGAATATATGAATTTGTTGCTTTTCCAGATGCTTCTGGTGTTCCCAGGGTTGGTTTTCCTAGTGACTGATTAGACAAGAAGTAGAGTGCCGCTTCACCAGAGGTGTAAGCGGTGTGCATTAAGCACTTAGGTGGTGTGGTCGAATGGTTGCATTACCCCTCAGCAGTGTTGACTCACTCTAGAATGAAGGACGTTGCCAGATCTGGAGGTGGAAGCATCTTCTGCAACCTTTATAAATAAGGCTAACACAAATAAAGATGTTATGTTAATTCGCAAACAGTCTTCATCTGGTAAACTCAGTAAATAACTAGGTTGAAGGTCAAAGGAAGTGAATAAATTGGGGATTAGGAAGCCCAGGTTTAGGTAATACTGCGTCACTTCAGTGATTGCAGTCAGCTACTTCACTAAACTCAATTTCCCCAACACTACCCCCTCACATTGCAAACACAATTGAAGTTACCTCATGAAAGAAAAGAAAGGTACCAAGGAAACCCAAGATATGCAGATATGCATCTTTATTATTATCCTAAAAATGCATGAGGTGGGGAGAAAAAAAAGCTTTTATACAGTTGATGCCACTTTTCAGTCTACAAAGAAAGGGTCTTTCAAAGCAGTTTTGTTTTTAACAGACATGAAGAGAGTTGCTCTTAGCTAATGAGCTCATTAACATTTTTATAGATTTTCATAGGCTCAGTCTTTCCTCTGCTTCTTATGCTCCTGTGATTGTTCACTTAAGGAAGGGACTATAAGAGGATTACTTGCTTCTGGGCATTTTCATTTCCATTTTTGGAAAGGACTATTTGCCATTAGGGAATGGTTACCTCACTTGTTCAGAGCATTCTATCAACATCCAGCAAGTTTCCTGGCCACAAACTCACTTTCACAAATGCCATGTGAGTGTGGTGAGGGGTTGATTGGATTTCATCCTCCCTAGTAGTGAGTCAAGGAGCCCTGGTGGCACAGTGGTTAAAGCACTCGCTGCTAACCAGAATGTCTGCGGTTTGAACTCACCAGCCGCTCTGCAGTAGAAAGATGTGGCGATCTGTTTCCATAAAGATTATAGCCTTGGAAATCGTGTGGGGCAGTTCTACTCTGCCCTATAGGGCCGCTATGAGTCGGAATCGACTGGACGGCGATGGGTGGGTGGTGGGTAAAGCAGCACTAGTGTCCAGGTTATCACAGAGGAAGGGCAGAACTACATTACAACCGTTATGCAATGCCCTAGTCAGTCTCAGGCTGGATTGGCTCACTCTTCAATTCCACCACCAGAAAGACAAAAATAAGTACTTGGTGGATTAATTGTTTCCAACAGCTCTCCTTGTGGCAGAAATCTGAAGTGCCAACAAGAATTATAAGTGAATTATTGAAATAAGGAGTTTCTCTATTTAAAATAGTGCACATTTTTTACTCCTAAGATTTCATTAGAAAGGAATGAGATTTACACAAGGAGCTTTAAATTTATCCTTGTGACTAACCCCAACCCCTTGCCATCGAGTTAATTCTGACTCATAGCGACACTATAGGACAGAGTAGAACTGCCCCATAGGGTTTCCAAGGCTGTAATCTTTATGGAAGCCAATTGCTACATCTTTCCCCATGGAGCAGCTTGTGGGTTCTAACCGCCAACCTTTCAGTTAGCAGCTCAGCACTTAACCACTGCACCACCAGGGGTCCTTGTGATTCACCAGGACTCAGTTTTAAGGTTTTATTGGGAGGATATCAATTGGGAAGCTCAAAAAATCTATAATCCTCAAGAACTTGAGGCAGAGATACAGATGCTTTAATTACATATCAGAAGCCCCACTTTTTTTCTTTCATAGCTGAATAACTTGATTTGGAGCCATGCTCATCTCCAGAGCTGACAACCCCTGAGGAATTTGCTGAGATTCTTAGTTGGCTGTGCCAGGTGCTTTGGAGAAGAAGTGAGAAATCAAACCAACAAGTAAAGGAGGAGGATGAGGACTAGGACATGAGGAGGAGGATCTATGTGAGAAGAAGCCAGAATGGCAGTTACACGTTAAGATTAGCAGACAAATGTAATGGCCTTGAGAAGAAAAGGAAAATCATGATAAAACCAATGTCTAAGAATTCAGGTTAAGATGGAAATAAATTTAATTACTAACTCTTTTAAGTTTTTAAAAATCAAAATAATCTCTTAGCTTGTTGTGGTATGAGTATAGAGAAAACACTCTTCCTTTCTCTACTTGTACGTTTCTACTGTTCTAAACTTCTTTGGGGAGTCAGACAGAAGGCAATTGCATGAAACAAGCAAGTTTACTACTTGTCAAGAGCTCTAAGATTAGGTTAGCTCAGACTTATCAAGGACAGAGTCTTCTAGGTGGAAACATATAAATATGAAGGACTGAAAGTGGTCATCTCACTCATTGCCATCCAGTTGATTCAGAGAAAGTGGTCATAAATGTATAAAAATTGAAGAGTTTGGGATTGAGGAAAGGGATCAGACATTGGCTAAATAATTGGAAAGCAGTGTTTACAGGAAGAAGGAAATTATGAGATACAAGAAATGGAAGTTAATAAAATATGAATACCATTTTCAATAAAATGCATGTTGGTTTTTACCAGACAGAAATATGCTACTGTAACAACCCACGTTCATCCAAGCCTTTAGTTTTCAGCGTCCATTATTGCATCCAAACCAAAACATCCCCCTTCATGTGTTCTATATTTCTTGGAACTGTCTATTCACTTGCAATGTGATGAGGGATTTTAACTGTATGTTATTCTTTCTTTTCAGACACCCTCGTACACATAATTAGCAAATAGTGTCAAAAGGGTAATGGAGATATAAAAGATAACAATATCTGGTCTCTGATTCTAAGCTGTCCTGATATCTCCTCTTTTGCTGTTTTTTTTTTCTTTCTACTATATTTCCTTTACAGTACTGCCAACTTTCTTCTTAAATGAAGAAAAAGTGATAACTTTGTCAAGCTCTTCCCCTTCTGACCTCATAGCTATGATGCTACACAAAATACCTTAGGGTAAGTGCAGGGAACTGTAACAAGGACAAAAATGAACACTCTAGGGAAGATAAACAGTTCTAATTCTCTAATCATCACTACTTCCAGTTGTTTCCAACTATGCAGCATAGACTATGCAGGGACAGGTTAGCCAGAAGTAAGGTACACACTGGCTTACAGTAAGCAAGGTATGCACGGGTTTACTTGTGTTTATTTACTAATCTGTAGGTGAAATTGGTCACTACAGATTAGTAAGTAAGCACAAGTAAGACCATGCATACCTTGCTTATTGGGTGATTCGTCCCTGCATAGTGGAAAAACTATTTGCTAGTCTTCCTCTAATTTGATTTTTAAATGTGTCACATGTCTAGATGCCGAGTAGCTCTGTTCCAGCCTCTGATGGTGTATCAGGGCAAGATTTGCACAGTACAATTTATGAAGTTATTCAGCACATCCCTTCCCAACAACAAGACCATGCAGAGTAAGTATGAATCCGCATTCGGTTGTGCTACTATGGAGAGTCTCAGCATTTAGTCCATGCTTTCCCCTGGAATTTATTGAAGAGCTCAGAAGAAAGATGTTAAAACAAGATTATAGCTTCTGTGCATTTGAACATATTTTTCTACCTGAAAATAATTTAGAGAAATAAAACACAAATATCTGGGGCTGGCACTTGGGCCAGTGGGACTAGATGCAGAACTCTAAAATCGACTGCTGGGTTGAGAATATTCCTCCTTTCTCAGAGTAGTAAAGGAATCTTCAGCCCAGTTCTCAAGTCATCTCGGTTATCTTGATGCGTTTCCAGTGGTTGTGGTGGTTTCAAAGATCCACTGGGCAGCTCAAATGGTTAAGTGTTCAACTACTAACCGAAAGGTTGGCAGTTCAAACCCATCAAGAGGTGCCTCAGGAGAAAAGTCTGGCTATCTGCTTCCAAAAGTTCACAGCCTTGAAACCCTATGGAGCACAGTTCTACTCTGCAACACATAGGGTTGCCGTGAATTGGAATCAACTTGACAGCAACTGATTTGGTATTTTTTTTGTTTTTATGGTAGTTCTAAGTCCCTGAGTGATACAAATGGTTAAGCATTCAGCTACTAACCAAAAGATTGGGAGTTCAAATCTACCCAGAGGAGCCTTGGAAAAAAAGGCCTGGCCCATCTA